TGATCGAAAGAGCAAAAAAAGAGAGGAAGGTTGTAGAGTGTGAATGAAAAGTGGATGATTATAATGACATGAATATATACAAGAAAGCTATAAAAATAAAGGAAAAGGCTATCAACTCAAACAGATTGGCGACTATGTCCTAAACACACCAAATCCGAGAGGACATAACACATTAAAAAGCACTCAAACAACATAAAAAAAGGGCTGAAAATTAAGTTTAGGAGGTGGAAAAAGTAGGCAAAAGTGGAATAAAACCAAGGGGTTTCATTTAACAAACAAGCCTAAGAAAGGATGGGTAACCCCTCCCCTTTTTGTGACTTTAAATCACATATTTCAGGCCTCAAAACACTTTGAAAACAACAAGTAAATATAAGAAAAAGAGAGGGAATAGATGGTTGAAGAGTTCAAAGATTACCCCTTAAAAGAGATGATGTTCTTTTTAGTTCACAAACGACACTCTTAACACTTTTTAAGATCTGAAATTATCTTCAAGAATCTCAGTAAAAGCTTCAAGTTTAAGCTTATAAGGTATATGTATTATATATGTATATTGTAAAAGGGTAGAGAAGACGGTTGGTCAAGCTTTGGGCTCATAGGAAATTTTTCTAACCCCAAATCATAACGAGGGTGTTGTATTTATAGAAAAACAGGTTCTTACGTCGAAATATTTGTATCAAAGATAGCTGGCCCAAAGTATGTGCATAAGAGCAAGTAGCAACTATCAAAATATCTGCTACGTTGAACATGGCTGGCTAGCTAAAAGGATGGCTGGCCGGCCAAAGAGATGTAGCATGCCGGTCATTTTTTGGTCTTGCTGTTTTTTGAATGATCAGGCTAGAAAAACAGGTTCTATTTTAAATGGGGTGCAAGATTTGAATTTGAAGTTTAAATCTGAAAGTGAACAGTCAAAACTTTTTGAATTAAAAGACAAATACTTTTTGATACTTTGCAAAAATAAAAAGACTAATCTTCATCAATACTAATGTAACAACTGACTTTCGCCAAAAGAAGATAAAACAAAAGCCCTGAACCCGTCTCATTGTTTAACAAGAACCAAAGAGATAAACTTGAGAACCGACGGAAGCCACTTCCATGAAGCTTCCACGTGCATGGGGGACAAACAATTTATGGATAACCCGTCTGTCTTATTATCTAGGAAGATTGTCTGATATTAAAATTTGTATAAAATATATTTAATTTTTTTTATATGAATGTGATATAAAATAATATTTAAAAATTTGTGAAGTATTATATTTTTAATAAAAAAATATAAGAAATTTTTTAAAAAAGAAATTAAAATTCGAGTCTTGTAACAATATAAATTTTAAATTTTAATCTTTTAATTTATTTTTAATTTAAACCAACTATTTATTTTTGTTCAGTAGAATTATCAAAGATATATATATTTTATTCATTAAACCCTATAGAAACCGGTATTATAAATATTTTTTATATACTTACATTGAGTTTAATAACTAAAATATATATTTTTCTTCAATTTTACTTAAAGAAAAATAGACGAATGGTTGAGGTTAAAAAAATTAAAAGATTTAATTTGATAAAATTAAAAATTTAGATTTTATTTTTTTATAAGGTTCAAAACTTTAAAAAAAAAATGTAATTTTTCTAAAAAAATAATGCTACGGTACAATTGTTATGCATTTTTTTATTAGTAGAATTACGATAATTTATTATTCAAAAATTAAGTTACATATTTTGTGATAATATTACATATTTTTATGGTAATATTATTTATTTTTTTTTATCCAAACAATGTGCAGTGTTAACCACAAAAATATATAACATTATCATAAAATATGTAATTTCATTTTTGAATCACAAATTATGATAATTCTACCAAAAAAATTACATAATTTTATAAAAATTTATAACATACATTATAAAAATACACAAACAAATTTCCCTTTCTAAGAAAATATATCATATTAACTGGACCAAGTGACATGCATTACGTAAAATAGATTCTTGAATATGAAGAAAGTTTGAGACGCTTAATTTATCATTCTTAAAAATAATTCCTAATGATATATTTGATAAATGTCAAATTTTAATTTGTCAAATATTTTATTATGTGAAATCAACTTCAATAACACATTATTAGAAGTAATTTAAAAATACTCCCTTCATTCCAATTTGTTTATCCACTATAGAAAATCTAATTTATTAATGAGATATATAATCATTACATTTTAATTTAAATTTTAAAATATTTTTCTCACCATTACTCTTCTTTTTGAATTTTAAAATGTGTTTATTATTGATTATAAGGATAATTTTAAAAATCTAACAAAATTTAATATCTCAAAATAAAAATTAGACAAATATTTTAAGACAAATTAAAATAAAATAAAACAAGGCAGAGGAAGTAATAAATTAAGGAATATAGGATTGTTGATGGAGAATACTGTCAAAGCCCGTTTGTTTTCAAAGTAAAATGGAAGGAATTATTAGTAAGGGGACTACTAGTGAGGAAACTGTTAGTGAGAGAATTAAAAAAAAAATGTATTTGTTTGACAATCAGTGTACTAGTGATAGTTCATGTTTGTTTTGAGAGATAAGAGTAATATTAACCATGTAAAATTCTACAAATACCTTTTACATCATTATCGAATTTGGGCTTATACCAACTAAATAATAAATAAATTTTTACTCAATATTATTTTTCTTTTTTTGTTATTTACTTATTTTTTTAATATTAAATAATCCAACTATCAAAATTTTTTTACTCAATTTTATTTATTTATTTATTTTTTAGTATTAATGAATCCAACTATCAATAAATTTTTACTCAATGTTATTCTTTTTTTTTCTTTTTTTTTTGTAAATATTAAAAAGTCCAAATATTAATAAAATTTTACTCAATTATTTGTGTTTAATATTACATGAGCAATATTATGAGGGGAATGAGAAAAATTGTGTTTGTTTGTTATATATTTTAGTGAAACTATTAACTATATGAAATATCATAAATAACCTTTGGTGTTTTTGATATATTTAATATTAAAAATTATATTTTTGTACTATGTTATTTTATGTTGATATAGTTTTTTGGTAGAAATATATTATTATACTATTTTATTTTAATATTAAAAATTATTTTATATCAAATTAATTTTATAAATGAGTGACAAAAGAGTATTTTTACCACCAATCCTATAGGATTAGATATCAATACCACCTCTCCTGTGGGATTGCTAGTCCCCTCATGAGAGGCCTTTTCATAGTCCCATGAGACTTTTTATCCCATAGTCACTTTTCAAAATAAACACAAATTTTTAAATTTCACCTCATTATTAGTCTCAATTCCATCTTCCAACTCTAAAAACAGACAAGGCCTCGAGGTTCAACAGTAAAAATTGCAAATTGTGTTGCATAAATGGTGAAAGTGAAGTTCAATGCATGTGATGTGAGCCCTCATTTGGCTAAGATTTTGGGGTTAAAAAAAAAAAACACAAAAAGATAAAATAAGTTATATAAGTTGACAAGATAAAATATTAATTTTTACTCAAAATCATTGCACTTTTTTTTTACAAAAATTAAAAAAGTCGAATCAAACAAGGTTAAAAAAAACAAGCTAAAAAAGTTTTAACACGAAAAAATAAAAAATAAAAAATAAAAAAATTATTGACTGTTTTAATCAATGCCAAACTAGCTCTGAATGAACCTGAAAATATGTTCCCAAAACGTGGTCGGTGGTACAATTTTACCACCCGAATTTATTTTTGATGGACCCTCTCTGTGTCTACAATGTCCATACCGTACCAAATAATGTTAGAAATCTATATATCTAATTTATAAATATTTATACTGATTTAATAAGAGAATTAGTTTCTCAATTATTAAGTGTGTAATAAATTAAAAATTAACATATATTCTTAATATATCATTGTTAGTATAATTGCAAGATTTTTTTAAGAATTTTAAACATTTTTTCATACAAAATTATTTCATATGGGTATATTTTTACATGTTAAGTAGATATTTCATCATTAATTTTATTTTCAATTAATTTAGTCATACTTTTTTACTTACAAAACTAGTTATAATTAATTATTTTTTTATCGTATATAAATATATATTATTTTTAATAATGTGACGCAATATATGTCTTCTTTTTAGTATTTATATATGTTAGTTAATTAGTAATTATTTTGACCTTATGATCAAAATAATTCTTTTCAAACGAAAGTTTTGTTTTATTGATTATTTTAAAATATTTTGTCTTTGTGAAAGTAGAAAGTTGAAGAATACATTCTTTTATATTGGCAAACTAGCTATTCATTTTGTCGAATGAGTTTAAGCCACTAATTTGATTTAATGAAAATAAGTCACTTGTATAACTAAAAACATATTTGATACGTGTATGTCAAAGCAGCTTAACAAGTTGACATTACAAAGTACTATTTAATTACGTTAATTCTATGTACATGTAGGTATTGGGTGAGTCTACTTCACATAGGTTAATTTTTATCCTTCCACAGTCTTTATTTGCTATTTTAACCTCCAACACTCTTCCCAAATAGGACCTCAATTATAATATAGTAAAAATCAAACACACTACTATATAATTACAACACAAAATAAATTCAAGAAAGAATTTTAAACAAGCATGGTTCTGAGCTTTTAGTTTTAAAAATATCAATTTTGCTACAGACTTCTAATTAGAGCTGCTCTAAAGCAGCTCATTAGAGCTGGCACCACATAAAAAATATAAAAATATAAAAAATAGTGAGATAAAAGACAAAACATAAGAGAAAAAAAGACAAATTAATACTCCATTATAACTCTCTTTTTAAAAGTGTGACTCATCTTTCTAAATTCAAATGAATATACAAGAAGCACCGTCAACAAACTCTCTCTCAAATGAATATACAAGAAGCACCGTCAACAAACTCTCTCTCAAATGAATATACAAGAAGCACCGTCAACAAACTCTCTCTCTCTCTCTCTCTCTCTCTCGCTCGCTATATATATATATATATATATATATATAATACTCCACACTTATCGTCCGTCAAGCTGGTCTGTCAAGCTCGCCCTCTCAAACACTCCCACACCCCAAATTCCTAATTCTCTTTTTAAGAAACCAACCTCCGGCGACCACCGCCGCAACAATGACGACGAAAGACTGCGGGCATCACCACCACGACGAAAGGAGAAAGTTCTACCTCCGCCTCTTCGCCGTAATCCTAACCATCATAATCCTAGTCCTCATCGTCATATTCCTGATCTGGATCATCCTCCGCCCCACCAAACCCCGATTCATCCTCCTCGACGCCACCGTCTACGCCTTCAACATCTCCTCCCCCCCCAATTTCCTCACATCCAATCTCCAAATCACTCTCTCCTCCCGCAACCCCAACGATCGAATCGGAATCTACTACGACAAGCTCGATGTCTACGCAAGCTATCGAAGCCAACAGATCACTCTCCCCACTCTCCTCCCCTCGACCTATCAGGGCCACAAGGACGAGAACGTTTGGTCGCCGTTTCTGTACGGAAACGCCATCCCGGTGGCGCCGTTCTTGGCGGAGTCGCTCGCCGAGGATCAGGTGGCGGGATCGGTGCTGATCAATATCAGGGTGGATGGACGGGTGAGATTTAAAGTAGGGACTTTCATCTCCGGGAAGTACCATTTGTATGTGAATTGTCCTGCTTTCATATCGTTTGGTAACAGGAATAACGGTATTCCTGTTGGTCCTGCTATTAAGTTTCAGTTGGTGCAGAATTGTCATGTTGATGTTTGAGGATGAGGAGTGAGTGAGTGATCTCTCTCTCTCTCTCTAGAATTTTTTTCTTTTTATACTTTCTATAAATGTTGGTAATGGTTTTATTATGGATTTATTTTACTTTCAAGTTTGATTTCGTAGATTGTAATATTTTTTTCTTCTTACTGTTAAGGAAAGGAAAGAATTGTGTTCTGAAAGTGGAGAGCAAGAAGCAAATTTGAGTATTTGTTATTGGAAAATCTTACCATGAAATTCTCTATGAAATTATCATGAAATTTTATTTGGAAAATTGTTGTGAAAGTGAAGCTTACAGCATAAATTTAAAGTTTGTTAGATATAGAAAACATATATTTTTTTTTTTTTTTACTTTTTGAATAATTTTTCTAAACACACAATATATATATATATATATATATGCTTGTGATTGATTGTCTACAATAAAATTTCATCTTCATTTAGGGCCATTTTGGAAAGTGGGTTATAATCCGCTTTCCAGATTATAACCCACTTCCCCTCTCATAAAAAAGCTGTTTATAAATAATTTTTTATCAAAAAACTGATTATAACCATCTTTTCAAAATAGTTCTTAGACAGTTCAATTGGTTATCCTTTATACATCTTCCTATTTTGTGGTGTTTTGAAAAGATGATAAAAATTTTATTTTTTAGCTTTTTTTTTAAATTTTTAATGTAAAATATAAAAAGTGATGTGATTTTAAAAAAAAAAATTAAAAAACTAAAAAATTAATTTTTTATAGCTTGTCAAATCGACTCTTCATTTCGTGGGTTGGGGAAATGACTGCACAGTTGTGTAGTTAAAAAAAAATTACTGGAAAAATTTATATATTTTAATAATTAAAAGGAATTGGCTACTCTTCCGTCTATTTACTTGTTGTAAGCTTTGATCTTTATTTTGACGATGTAAATCATTCAATTTATAGAATTTATTGAATATATTATTTTTGTAAAAAATCACATTAATCAGATATTAATAGTCAATTAATTAAATCATATTTCTATCACAATTTATTTTGAAAATTATGCATGCTATTGACAGAAATGTGATCTAATAAAATATCTATCGATATCTGATCAATGTAATTTTTTATGAAAATAATATACTTGACGAGTTTTTATAGATTGAACGGTAAAAATTATCGAAATAGGCCTGAATCAAAGTCCACAACAACTGAATAGCGCCCTCCAGTCCCATAACGGATGGGAGAGGAGCTAATTCCTAATTAAAATAGTATATTTTTATGTTTTTGTATTTTTTTTTTTTGCTATCACTGTACAGTTATTTCTTTTTGTGGGTTTTACTTTGGGTTCACAATAATGATTTGAACGGCTTATTTTGTAAATTTTATAGTAAAAATTGTCTGTACAAAAAATTAGTTTCATCGAATATCAATAAATTGATAAATAAATCATATTTTATTTTGTAAAATGTATGATTAAAATTTAGAAAAACATTATGGTGCACACTCTTTAAAGACGTGTATCATATGCACTGCCTAAAATGAAAATTGACATAATTTTAATTTTTTAAGTCATAACTACAAAAAATTAAAAATATATATATTATAACTAAACACATATGAGACGTAAATAAAGAACTCATGAATCGTAACTAAAATAATGTCATCACTAAAAAAGAAAATTGCATAATTAATATGATACATTCCTTTTAAAGGAGTGTATATTAAAATTTTCTTCAAATTTAAACTCAGAGTTACTATTCATTTTTTTTTAAAATGTGATTTATTGACGTATTTAGTGATATTTGATGAAATTAATTTTTTACATAAGTAATATTGGTTGCAATATTTAAAAAAAAAAAAACTATTTAAATCATTATTATAAGTTTAAAATAGAGTTTATAAACTGAAGTACGTAGAGATATAAGGGGAAATGATATAAAGGAGAGTCATCCCCTAGTTTATTTAGCCATATAGAAGTTGGCCACGTGATTAAACTTATGATTTGGTTTATGTATTTTTAATCAAAAATGTTAGAGGTCCCAAAAATTCTACCAAAAGTTTTACCAAATATCTTATATGGGTATGAGATCCACATGAGACCCACATTGTATAGGTTCTACACCCATGTGAGACATTTAGTAAAACTTTTAGTAGAATATTTGAGATCTCTAACATTACTCATTTTTAACATTAATATGGTTATTATGGGAACGTGCCGAGTGATGGCCTTGATTGTCTTATTTGGATAGGACCACAATAATTAATGTTGGAAAGTTGATGTAGAAACATAAATTCATTCTGCAACTATATGTGAATATTTCTGAAGTTATGATAACGATGAAATTTTAATTTAAAAACCATATTGATATCCACCTCGTTCTGTAAAGTTTATTTGCATATAGTTGCTTAGACATGTTTCTTAGACGAAATTTCACTCGTGTTTAATTGATTAAAATTTCATTTAAAATGAGTTTGTCAAGTAAATAATTTAAGTTTGAACACAATTTTAAATTCATAAAATTTTTTAATCAAATTTGAATGAAATGATAAACTTATATGTATTAAAAAAAATCAAATTCCTTATGCTTAACTCCCGTCCAACTCACTAAAAATTCATTTAAAATAAATTCGTTAAATTGTTTATAAATAAGTAAAATTTAAATATATTTCATTAATTTTTCAAACTAAGTTGGAAGAATCAACTACTTGACTCAACTTGATTTGTTTATAGTCGTAGTATTTTTAGAACTCTTTAAAACAATCGATACATTCTGCGGTGTTTTAAAAAATTGGTAAAAGAATTAATTTTTTGACTTTTTTAGTAATTTTTTTTGACAAAAAATTGACTTTTTTAGTTAAAAAAGCTGAAACATCAAAAAACTGACTTTTTTGACAACCTCCCAAAAGACCCTATATAAAACTTACACCTGAGTAGCTTTTTTTTTTTCCCCAAAGTACTTACACTAGCAATTACACGAATAATATGACATTATTTATTTTTTAAAAGAAAAACTCTAAATTACCATGTAATTTTTTGAATTGCATGTATTGTACTTGCCCTTCTACCAACAATATAAACAAACAAAATTTATAAATATATTTATATGGCCAAATCACAAATAAAATTTTAACGTCAAAATTTGTACATATATTTTTGTCACATTAGCCTAGTAGGCTGTGATTAGCAAGACAATATACTTTTTCATATATTTCAAACAAAAATTATATATTTTAATATAATTTTTTTACATATTTTTTCAATATTAATGACAACCTTATAGTTGTTTTTAACAATTTTCTTAAAAATTTAATTTAAATTCTATTGGCAGGCTGGCCTATTGAAAATGCCCCTATATCTCCTCTGGACCTATGTCAAATTGGTCAAAACGCATTGTTCAGAATTAATAAATAAATCAAGGGCTTTTCATACAAAGATTAGTCTTTTCACACATTATTCAACCAATGAAGAGGGCAATGTTTATTTATTTCTAACAGTAGCATACTTTTAGGATCATGTTCCATCCAAAAGATACACTACCGAACAATAAGGATAATGCTACGTAACTCAAATTTTGTGACTTAAAAGTGGTTTAAATGGTCAAAACGACGTCGTATTGAGTACAAAACAACATAAAAATGGCCAAAACGACGTCGTTTTGACCATTTAAACCACTTTTGAACTACAAAATTTAAGTTACAAGACATTTTCCGAACAATAATACTTGTTGCTTGTCAAACCTCGCTTATATCGTCAGAAAAGCCCTTTATTATTCAACATTATTTCCTCAATGATATATTAGACAGTTGGACATTAGGTTATTTAAATTTTATTTATTCATATAATTAGTTGATTCGGATGAGCTTTTAATAAATTAAGCACAGGTTAAATTCTAATATTTTTATTTTTTATAATGTACATAAATGTGTTGAGCCAAATAATAAAGTATTTAAAATTGATTTACAAATTAAAATAAATTTTCAAATATATTAAAATTTAATTTATTTACATAAGAATTAATTTTAAACGAGTTGTTTTATAAGCTTAATGCAATTAAGTATAGTTATGATATCACTATATAATTGTTGATGATGAATGCAATTCCATCAAAGGAACAACTTCTCTAAATGGACGGAATGGTGTTGTTGGGTCTTGGTGAATTAGACTTTGGGCAGATCTCGATAATCTAAAACGTTCAATGTGTATATCTCGTGGAGTAGATCATTCCTGAAAAAAGTCATATTGATTGAGTATCCATAGTCACTTGATCATATTGTATTTGTGCATGCAATTTACTTTTAAAATCATAATTGTCATTGAAATAAATGGAATCTGATCAAATAGTTATCGATATTTAATCAACATAATTTTGTATAAAGATGATATACTTAACGAATTTTACATATTAAACGGTTAAATTATCCAGATAAACCAGAAGTCAAGCCCACCACAAACCTAACAACACCGTTCAATTCTATAATCGGACTAGTGAGAAGCTGTTCTCTTCATCAGATCTCAAAATGGCTGAAGATAACTTGAGAAGATAGTCTAGACATGGACCACTTAGGTCATTATAACTTTCATGGTGGTTGGTGAAGTTAATGAATCTAACATCTACTTTACTATTCATTTTAGGAGATTACAAAATTTTCACTAATTTATTATTAATATCTAATTTATATGATATTCTCTTTTTTCTTTCTTTCCATATACTATATTAAATCACAAAATATTTAGGATAGGTTTTCAATTGCAAATAAAACGGTGATTTATTGACTTCGAAGAGGGTATTTTATATACCGTGTACATTACTTGATACAGGTGGCATGATGTATCATTTCATTCATTATTTGTGTTTGGTAAATATAAAATTTGACAAATCAAATCCAAAGTTTTAAATATTCGACTAAATCAAATTATGAGCCCATCTTCTTTTTTTGGCACATGATAAAAAATAAACAAACATAATTCCAAGGGAGGTATTGTGCCTCTGATTTCTGAATGTGAAAAAGGTGGAGTTGGATAGTACAAGGATAGCGTCAAAAAGTCGGGTTGATTAACTTCTCTACCTAACTACTCGCCCATGTGGTAGCAATGTAATTATGAGGGTTCAGTAGGTGCAACTGGAATATTTGAGTCATCAAATGTCTTCCTTTTTCTATCTCATTACCTGCCATGCCTCACAGCAACGTTAAGGGTAGCCAGTGACATCCATTTTACTACCTTGTTTGGTTATCATTTTTTAAAAATATTTTTAAAAAAATTTTATTTATT